CATGTCTGCAAAAATAATTTTCATAGTTTGTTAGGTACATTGTGACGGTTAGTGTGTATGATATTTTAACTGAAATGTGAGTTCCAGTGCTCTCAACTGTTTTACATAATACACAATACAATAATGGTGTGACGATATGGGCACATCGAATAAACTTCCAATCAACATTTTTTACAGCATTTAACCCCATTAGCTTATTTCTTTAGCAAGCTTTGAAACGTCAACATTTGTAGGAAATAGCTTTTTTTCAGTATCGTCAATTTTCGAATATTCCGATACTTTTTGATCTGACTCGGTTACTGCGGTGTGACTAAAATGTGTGCGTCAAGTTTAAAGGACTACGAGCGTTGGCTGAATTATTGCGGGTTTTGGCTAACAAAATGTAAGTCAAGACTAAAGAATTGTGGGTTTTGGCCAAAACATTTTTGGTTGTGGCTAAATGATTACGGGTCGAATTGAAAGGACAGCGGGTTTAGTCTAAAGCTTGGTGGGAAAAAGGTGTGCAGGAGATTGAGCTGTATGCTGCCGGGTGCCTCACCAGGGCGTGGGTAACCGGATGACCGTTCAGGTGATTAGCCATGAATTATTTGGTGCTGCATCAGCGAATTACCAATCGCGTCCATTCAGCGGCAAAATCTGATCACTAATCGGCCAAATTTCCGGCGTTTCTATGAAACAAGCCTTAAGCAAATGTGCTTTGGTCACTCTTGTTAACAATATATGCTGCGGTAAAAAACGCCTCCCCCACAAAATAACGAGAGTAACTTCTAACAAAACAAAATATCGGAGAAACTAAGTGTTCATGAAATTGGGGGGATACTTTGGACTTGAATATAGGCAGTTTCGGAAAAATCAACTTGTCTGCAGTTGTTTATCGAACTGTGGTCCTCCTTCACAAAACAAACATCTTTGATGTCTATACAAAGTATAAAGAGACCAATTACATGAAAAAATATGCATGAATGCGCTTCAACAGTCAGAATCAAATTCAATTTTTTTTTATTATCGGTAATTTACACAGCTGATGCTTATTGAATCCCGTAGGATCTGTACAAACTTGGGGTCGAATGGTCGCACAAATAAATAACAAAATATCACGTTCACTCCCGAATACCAAAACGATTAAGTATATTGGTGCTTCATCGAACCGCGACTCGAACGAATTGACGGTTACAGCACAAACAACCTGAAGTGTGAGTTCCAGGTTTTATACACTCTTAGGGTGAAACAATGACGCATGCAATCTAGCTGATTCATAGTCCTCCAGGGTTTTCGATTCGATGTCCATACTGGGCAGAGGTCGTCAAAAAAACGTGCAAGGGATTTTACTATTCAGTGGAATATTCGAATGCACTCTTCGTACAGGTATATGTATCTATAACCGGCGTTGGAACGAGCATGATGTCAACGAAAAAATAAAAAAATAAAAAGAAGGAGCATTAAGTACAAGTGGGGAAAACGAAGCGAAACGGACAACAAAAATTAAAAACCGGGAATCGCAATCTTTTGTGTGGCTTCCCCTTAAAGTTTTTCTGTTTCGTTTTATTATTTTTATGAGGCATTCAATTTTATCAGACAAACAGTACAACATTCGTGTCTCTGACTTCCATTCGGAGCGGTATCTCAGCGTCTCTAACCAATGCTAATTCTCATCCCTTGGGCCAAAGCCGGAAGGTGTATAACACCAAATGAAGCCCATGCTGAACTTAACTTCTCTATATTCCATTATCAATTCATTGTCTGACCACCGCGTTGCTTCCATCCTCCCCCAGTACGTATGACGGCATGAATGGGTAGTGTACTGGTGTATTTAAAACATGCCAGCGTTGTCGGAAACAATATAGAGCGAGTTCGCCATTCAGTGATTGACTACCGGGACCCAACAGGCAAAGACGATGAGTCTGGACATTGCTCACCGATGTCTCCATCCGAAACGAGCAGTGCTTTGAAAGCAAGCAAATTTCGCAGTCTCTGTATAAGCTCCCATTGAATTCACGACAGCCCGCCACGGGCCGGGACCCGCATAAGTCAATCCTCCCATTTCTTCCATGTCACTTACGCACTGCTGGCTTACTTGGCTTTTAAAGTAAAACAATGGGTACATGCACGAGAAAAACCCACACGGCTTACCGATTCGGAAGTATCTTCCAGCTCAGAGGACTCATCTGATTGGACTGATACCTTGTCCGCTTCCGTACTGTTTGCGTCCTCTGGTGCCCTCAGAGATCGAACTTTCTCGTCCCCATCATTTCTTTCTTGTGACGATATCTGTTCAGCCAAATCCGTCCCGTCATCGGTTATTTTTAGGCAACCTGTAAGAAAACATTGGATAAAACCATAACCAGGATGTACGATGCAACGAAAAACCGAATCAACAAACAGGATTGTGTAAAACAGACTCCCGTATGTTGCAAAATCGACCCTCAATATGCACACAAAATGCTGAGCATTATTCTCTGATGATCAGACCTCGATGTAGATGGTTAGGTATGGTGTTTCCCGACAGATTAGTTATCGATCAATGACAGACTTGATTCTCAAATGCTACCAGGCTTGTTCACGTAGCAGTCAATCCCTGAAAACTCACTGAAAATGAAGTCCACACCGGACGCATGAAATCTGTTCTTGTCTTGTCAATAATTACTCACTTACGCGTACGATGATTCTCTTGACTGAAACCCTCTGATCGTGAAACGAATTACATTAGGAAAGTGAATGTCAAGCTGAAATTCATTAAAATAATGTTCCCCATCTACGCTCACTTTTTTATTGCCATATTGCCTTCCCAAATTGAAAGGATATTTCCGTTCACGAATGCTCAGCTCACGGGGCATTGTTGCAACAGATGGTCACGTGATACAGTGAGGAGGATTCATGTGAGGCCACCAAATTCCAATCCCACGCCATCCAATGAGAAGTCTTTAGTATCTCCATGGTCGACAGACCGTAGGGTTGTCAGCACTGACCAAAATGAACACTTGCTCATTAACTTTCACTTTGTTCCTCACGTTTCGTTTGAGGACAGTCCGACCATTCACATTGTGTGCATGATGCACGATCTAATCAGTAACTTGTTTCCTGTCTACAGTTCTATTTGTCTGAGTGAAACGGTGTAAGAACAATGTACAATCATTGACTTATAAATAAACTGGACCTGGTTAAACAAACCAGCTATGACAGATGGAACGAACGGGAACAGAACCACAACAACGAGAACAACAACAACGATGAAAGTGATTTTCTACTACCCTTTGAAGGTCGTTGTCATTCTGTACTCTAACCGGTTGAGAGTTATAAACCGGTTGTCATGCCAACCGTTTTTCTGTTTTAGCATTCCTTGTGTGTCTGGACCTGGTGACCGGCTTGATTTACATCCCTCGAGTATCGAGGAATTTTATTTTAGTTTTAATCTGCTTACCAAGACTTATCAAATTCCGAAACCTCAATTGAAAGTAAAACAGTGTTAGCCAAGTTTTCCGGTTGAAAAAACAAACGATATTCATTATCCTGTTGGGCTAAATATGTTCTGTGATCGGATCACCTCAAAGACTGAGTAATAATTACCATGAACATCTATTCGTGTATCACTTTGATAATTAACAGATCGATAAGTTAGATGGGGCGTTTGTTCTCTCGCAAGTTAGAGTATGATCTATCAGCTGGACTGTACACTTCTCCTAGCATCCATAAACCTGTGCACAACTGCCAATCAAGCTGAGCTAGGAAGAAACGGGAGTAGTGGACCTTGAATCTCTTTCTCCACTCAGTTCACAGAAATATGTGCGTAAGCCACTCCTCTCGAATTTCAGCTCTGTTACCAGGTGCCTCATTGACTGGCGCGATAGAACCTGCGATTAAACCGCCGGTAAATTTATCGACCTATATATTAAGATTCACGCACCTCGCCTGAGGCAGGAATAAAATGATTATGGACGAAGTTCCTCTTTGGGGGCTTCGGTTATTCGCGTTAGCTCACAATTCAACATAGCCATTCTCCAAACATCTCACACCTAAAAAGTAGATTAAGGCGTATGTGAAGTATCCCAACACTAATTGCCTGTTTGTGCAATTCACATTTTATTTGGTGCTACTTTGGGAATGATTTATAATGCACTACGTCTTACCCAAAACCATTTATACGAACAACACGCTCGACCGACCAGTACAGCATTATAAAACAGTGTATAAATGGTTCATTTCGAATCGACCTGAACTTACCTGTTGCACGGATATCGTCTGACGATTGATTATTGTCCCTTTTTAATTGGGCATCATCGACCGACGTGTTGGGGTCCTTCGTTTGGTCTGGGACATCTGCGGCAACTTTGGGAATCTTGATCAACTGGCCGGGGAAGAGACTTCGGCAAAACAGGCGATTGATTCGACACAGTTCGGACGGTGTGAGATCGAATCGGGCGGCCACGCTGGTCAGTGTATCACCCGGTTGAACCTGCATTACCAAAGTAAGGAAATGGGGAGTTCGAAGAAAGATAGATTTCGTCGTATTAGCCATTTTGATGATTAACATTTGTTAAATAAATGCAGAAATTTGTCAGAATGACGAGTCCTCCGGGAACTGACACTACCGACTTGTGTCTGAGACTCCGAAAGAAGTGACTGATCACCAGCTGATGCGCCCACAATACAAGAGTAAGGAAATTATCCAACTCCTAAGAGCTGAACCTATTAACCATTTGTATCAGGAAAGTGTATGTAGCGCCACTTCCGCCAAAACATCAAATTTATGTAACACGAGGACTGAACCCCGATCAATCGACTAGATTAAATAGCTGCTGCTAGTAGCTAGTTCATTTAGGATAACCGAGAACTCTGGATTACAAACCACCGATAACGAGGGTTATGACCCACCGCAAAAATTCTGGACACAAAGATCACCATTTCCACATTGGACATAGGAGCTGCTTTTGGGAAAAGCTCACTTTCGACCGTTTGCAGACCAGCGTCTGATATTACACCTTATAATAGTTGTATGTTTTAGGGAAGAGTCGAAGGTAAGCCAACTAGGCTTGCGCTACCGAGTGGTGGAATAGTCCTCAACTATGATGAAGACTGAGAGCGAGTGGACGACATCTGAGCAGTTTAATGCTGGCGCCATGATTGTCTTCTGATCGGCGGCAAGACGAAGAGTTACATTTGTGAGACATTGTATATCAATCCCTTTAATCGCAGATTTTATTTATCCTTGTTTGTATGCTTTTCAGCAAAAAATTATTTTATTGTGGCTATTGCGGCTATCAATCAAGTTTGGCGCCATGTTTCAAACAATAGAATAAATAACTTTTCAGACAGAAGTGAGAAGCATAAAATTTTGAATTAATTGTTTGTTTATTTCAGACAACTAAACCAACTTAAATTTTACGGGTTCGACGTTTCAAAGCGTTTCAAAGCGCCCCAAATCTTAAAACCGCGGTTTTCTGTCTGAAGCAAAAGAGAACACTTTCTTTCAAACAACCTTGTTTCCATGCGCAAGATAATGCGAAAACAAAGCAGGCCAGTATGCTTACCGACCGAGTGAACAACTAGGTCCAATGCTTGCATTGTGTTTGTGAATCCGACAGTTTAACCGGCAACACATTTTCGACGAAAGGTAACTAAATATGTATATCAAAAAGATGTTGAAAAAAGGTACACATTTTGAAATTTTCTCAGGAATCCAAGGCAAAAACATAGCGGTGAAGTTCGCGGTGTTTCAAATCAGGATACTAAGGTGTTTTCAACTCCATGTGACTTGAACCTGACTCAGCCGGGTTTTTGATGTTCCGGCAATAGGATAGTGTCATTAGACGGCGCCATAAGGGTTCATCCTTTGAAGAACAAATTACACGAATTCAATTAGTTTGAATTTTCCCTGGTAATTTTTGCATTACATCACTGCTCGATTTCGACAAGTGAATAAAAATGCATCCATAAACGCACACTTAATTACGTGAAGAGATCTATTGAAAGGGGAGAGTGACCGGATAGTCGAGCGAGTAACGCGTTGGTTTAGAAACTCTTCATATCCAGATTCACGTCAGCAAGCATTCACCGTTTGTACTTTGGAAAAAATTATGAATCATTTTTCATCAGCCCACTACGGAAGACTGGCTGAGTTGAGGTGATAAAAATGCCTAAACTAAGTGATTAAGTGATCCCACCGATTCTTTCAAATACAGATTTCTATTTGGTTTAATGATTTAATAGACTGAGTGCTATGATGGAGTACCCTGAACAGAGGTGCTCGCAGATCGGTGCACTTTCTGTACGTAGTTTATTTGATCACATTTCCGAACGATTCTAAGCATTCATAAACTTTCATTGAATCATACAATTTACGAAGGAGGTAGAAAAAGATGATCTTCGCCGAATGGAAGGCAATCATTTCGTAAGCGATTGTGGTCAAGATAGTGCATAAATTTTCCGATTTTCGTCCCACTGAGATACAAACGGAATTAAGCCATCCAGCTAACCCATAAGGCGGAGGAATTTGAAGCCCGAATTCCTTAGCTGACGACCTGGCCCGCATAAGAGACATATCCAGCAAAAACTGATACCCAGAACGATTTAATCGATGATAACCAGATTCACAATTAACCTACTCAAACACATGGCCAGAAAGCAGATGCTTGTGAATGTTCCATTCAAACGGGATCGGTCATGAAAAATTCTGGAACACTACCTATCAAAAGCCAACTCTAAATGACTTACGCAGCACATTTCCGAGTCACCTCGATAAGGGTCAATTATTGTTCGACAGTTAAGGATAAATCCCCTCATCAGTCTCGATCGTCTGTTCCATCTCAGTTTACATGCACTTGTACAGCCTGTTATACCGGACGCACAACAAGAAGCTTATGCAAAAACATATCTGGATATTGTTTGACCGCTCTTAAAAAAAGATACAGACAGAAACTTAATTAGCTCAATTTCGCAACACCTGGTTGGCAGTGGGTACAGGATTGTCCCAGAAACAACGTCCGCAAGTTTCTACATAGCACCCATCATCATCATCATTATCATCATCGAACAGCGATATACAATGAAGCGAACTTCACAGATTGCTGCCAAGCTAACTATGCACAAAAATTACGCGATAAAACACAAGATGGAGAGGGATTGGGCCTAATTCGAGGGAGGTAAGGAAAGTGAACCTCTATGCTCAACACACACAGTAACCAATCTAAGTGTGCATACATACCTGTTCAAGCATTCTCACTTGATAAGAAATGACAACAAGAACGCCAGTGCTGTCGGTTCGCTGACACATCCTTCAGTGTCTCCAACCAACCAGTTGCAGTCTTTTGAACTCCAACCTGGAAGACGGGAGACACCTATTCTACCTAATTGGTCTGTGCATTTCTTCCAGCCTCGTTTCCACGTCATCTGTTGACCTCCCCGTGGTTTCTTCCAACCTGTAGCCGAGACTGCGGATAAGGCGCGCTGCGGTAGACGATGGCTGGACATACGCAATACGTGTCCTAACCAGCGAAGCTGAATAATCTAAATTCGATGAGACAAAGAATTCTCCACGGAATCATTACCAAATACGCTAAGCCTTACCTCAAAGTTGCTCACATGCTCACTCCATCCAACCGGCGCCAAACTAGGTAAACATCGGCAGTCGAAGACTTCAAGACAACGAAGTTGGTGCTGCTTCCCTAGCTGGGCAATCACCTCCATTGTAAATGAATCTCTTCACACTTGACTATATGGAGATCGCTCACAATCGTACCAATCCCAAAGCATCCAAATCATCTATCCTATCCAAACGTTTTCGCCCCATGGCATTAACATCTTCAGTTCTTAAACCGATTGAAAAGGCCATCTTCAAACGCCTTCAGCAGTCTATAAACATTACCAGTGATCCATCTTACTTTGCTTACAAGCCTAATAGATCCACCTTGGACGCAGTCTCCACCATCATTCATTTTATCACTAAGTCTTTGAACAGCCCTGTTAAGTCTGTTCGGTGTATTGTTCTGGACTACTCTTCTGCAATTGATTCCATTCCTAGATCTAAGTCGTTACAAAACCTGGAACCGTTTGAATGCCCCAAGCAGTTGTTAGCTTGGCTATCCAACCATTTTACTGATAGAGTACAAACCACTAGATTGGGGAAGGCCACATCGAAACCCTTAGTCAGCAACTCCGAGGTTCTTCAAGGAGCTGTATTATCCCCATACTTATTTTCCACTTATATTTGTGATATTCCCTGTGTTTCTCCCGCACAAATTTTGAAATATGCACATGATGTCGTGTTGTGCCAACCCATTTCTTCTTACTCTGATCTAAGCTCTTTCACCGACAATCCTGATCAAATTCAGTCATTCTCCTCCTCATCGGGGCTAACCCTGAACCCCAGTAAATGTGTTCAGTGTTTATATGGTTTTGCTCGCTCCCCATATCTGACAGACCACACAGTGATTAATAACAATCCTTTATCCAGGGTGAACTCTGTCAAATATCTTGGTGTAACCATAGATAGCAATTCTCATTGGTCAACCCACATGCACAACTGCATCCTTAAATTGTGGCGCCTATCATTTGAAATACGAAAACTCAGGCAGTTTCGTGCACCCCAGTCAGTTATTTCTACCTCTGTTTACCAGTGTGTTTTCCCCATCTTACTCTACTGTTCCCCAGTTATTTTTCCTGGCTTTCTCAAACAGAATTCTTAAGTCTTACGCCGCGGTCTAACCATTATTGGTCGTGTCTCTTCTATTCCTTTGAATCAGTTAGCTTTAAAGCTTTCAGAGTACCACGTAACTTCCTGTGTGAAATTTGCTGAAAGGATTCTCACAGATCCTAACCCCCTATTGCACGCAGAACTGACACGTTGCGGTTCTCATCATTCAACGCGCTCTCAATTCCGTCAAATTTCATCTCGAATTACCGCTTACCGCAATTCACCTATACCGTATCTTGTTTGTGTACTCGTAAACAAGGAGTGAACAATAAATGAACTGTCTTAACATCGGATTATGAAATATCCTCATGTCTGCAAAAATAATTTTCATAGTTTGTTAGGTACATTGTGACGGTTAGTGTGTATGGTATTTTAACTGAAATGTGAGTTCCAGGGCTTGCAAAATTTAAACACAATACAATACAGTACAATATCTTCCACACGCAACTTTAGGGTCTCGCAAGCATAAAGCAGAAGTGACCGCACACTGCCGCATTATATATGACCTTACAGCACAGCACCGAGGACCCGTACTATAAAAATTGTTTTAGTAGATCGAGTAGAAATCATATCAAATGCGATTTTTAATTCGAAGCGTTGAGTTCTGCGTAGCCGGCACTGCTATTGCCATAGTCATAGAAGTGGTCGGCGCAAAGATCTCTTCCAATTTTTCCCCTTTTGATTCTTGTGACTTCTGTTCACGGTTTACACCGGCAAGCAACTCGTTATCACATATCGTTCGCAGTTTTTCATTCCGTTTTTCCCTGCCCATTTCGAATGATTTTGGGACACGTTGGCAATCAAACATGTCGGGCGCGTTCAAATACAAGCAAAAATGCACTCAACATGAACTTAGGCCTTTCAATAATAATCGAACAACAAACGTCAATGCCAGAAGGGAAAGGAATTATTTCTCCTCTCAACCCTGTTCTCCGGCGTCGATGGGAATATCTCACAAACTATCTCGGTGCGGCTCTCAACTGTGAACATTTTCACTGACCAACCGAAGGAGAGCTACCCAAACTGGTGCACAAAAGTGAGTGCTACGTCAATGGCTGTACAAAGTGAACCTCAAACATCAGGAGCCCCAGGTACAGTGGTAAGTAAAATGTTATAAAAAATTCACGTTTCATCCCGTTTGCGATTCTTTTCTCAGTAGCAATAACGGAAACTATGGACTTGATGGACAATTCGCAAATGCTCGTCTGTCTTCATATCGCGACTGAAACTTCGGGTATCGAGACTCAGATTAATGCTATAGGGTCAAGTGTTGTAGGAATTAGGATATCTGCAGCAAAACACGATTTCAAATTAAGCGTGCATTTTAGTTTTACAGTTTCTTCATATAGAGGTGAGTAAGCAATCATTCAGTAAATCATAACTTATTGAAAATTAAACTGAATTCGTTCTATGCATTTGACAAAGCATGATTTAAATTGGTCTAAATTTTTCCTGAACTGTCAAAGTTTTGATCAGTGCATTGGTTTTCAAACAGTCGTGTCATCGCGCGTTTTTTTAGTCACGCGAAATGTGGGTCAATCTGTTTCGATAAATTGATCCACGTCGCTACCTCTTTCTCTCTTACGCGAAAGTGCGAATGACTGTTGTCGATCATGGGATGATGATGATAATGATGACGTGACACCCGAGCTGCCGTGATGATGGTGTTGTTGCTGCTGCTGCTGCTGCTGTTGTCATTGCCGTTGTAACAACTGAGGCTATGCAAGCACTTATTGTTATGTAACACCTTAACTTAATGATCAGAGGAAAGATGTGAATACGTCAATCTGCTGTTCTGTTGTGGGAACCGGCAACCTAAACCTAGAAGACTTGAGAGGGTAAAGTAACTGAGAGCTCAATGTGAAAGGTATCCTATTGAGTTGGACGGCAGCAAAACTGTCAACCACCAAAGTTAGGCGAGAATTGCAGGGCTCAAATCTCGGACTTCACCGCCCGGAGCAAGCTAGTGATAGCAACTGAGATCGCTAATCGTGAAAGATTCTATTTACTGCGATTCGGTTACAGTTGATCACAGGCTGACAAAACAGTTTAGGCGAAATGCTTTTATGCTGTCCAATTTCCCCCCACTCTGAGAGACAGAGTTGATGAAAAATACAGTCAATCAATCCACTAGATATCTTTCTTTCCAATAGCAATTGAGCCTCAAAATACTCTCATTTGATTTCAATGTTAAGCGATTAAACGTCGCTTGAGTGAATTCGGAAAACGGACAAATATTTTAAGACACATCAACACAATGCGTTTTCCCGAGTACATTCACGAGTGGGCGTGTCCTAAATTGAAGCCGTGTCCATTTCGGTTAATTCGAACTACCGGCGATACCTAACAGATTCGAAAAATATGAAGCTGCACAATGTGCTCAAAAAAACATCTAAAAACATTTATGTGTATGTAGTCGTCTAAATTTATGTGACCTTTTTCCGTGGTGCCCTCGTAATCGATTTCTGAAGTTCAAACGCTAAACATCGATTTATTTCCAATGAAACATATTCGGAGTAAGCTCACAAAACATAAAAGTTCAAAATCGGGTAAACTTTCTTTTTTTACTTTCATGCACGATTGACTCCAGATGATAGGAAAACAGGTTTGAATGATGATAGTGCACGATTGCCCATTCGGTGGGACAATACAGATGATCATTTAGGTGATTTTTCTCCTATCGGCGACATGTGGGCAGGATCTGTGGCAAACAGTTCTTCAGTCCATAAACTTGTGATAGTATACAGCCTTTTTTCTCTCGTAGTTCAATCGGCGCTCGACTGATGGAAAAAGTTAGCGTTCACACATAAGCCAATCCCGTTTCAGCGCAAATACACGCGTACAGCTACAGCGAGCAGTTACGCTCGAGTGCGTGAACTGTTTCCACCCCGATTCGGCCGTTCGCTTATTGCCTCATNCTGCTTACTTTATCGTTATTTCTTTATGAAACAATTTTCAAATCCCAATAATCGTTGAATATGAGCACGAAAATCGCATATTAATTTAAAGAAAAACTGAATCATGCGACAACTATCAGGAAATAGGTCACAGTGATTAATGTGACATGAACGTTTAAGAATGCTGAAAAGATTGTTTCCATAACAGTTTGAAAATTATCATACATGTGTAAATCTGTCTTAAGATATGTGCGATCTCACAAATTGGATCACTTGCAGCGAATATATTTTAACCATGGTATGTATTTCTCAATCGTTATGACAAGGTTAAGTATTTCCTACAGTTTAATGAACCATCAATTCCGAACTAATGAATCAAAATGGAATTTCATGCCCTGTATTATTTGAGAGAACCGTCATAAACGTCCATGATGTGAGAGCTATCGAAAACCGATAACTGAGGACAATGTGCATACCGATTTAAATTACTAGTTTCAGCAGACTACCGTAATTACTAATATTTGTTGTTGTTGTTGCTTTTGTTATTGTTGTTGTTGTTGTTGTCGTTGTTGTTGGATATGAAAATACAATTAATATTTAAGAAGAGGTCTCCGGGTAATCAAAAGTCGTCAAACAACAAATGTGACATTGCAGTGATTCGAACACAAATAATAGAACGATGGGCGATCAGTTTATTACGCTCATGATCCAGTGATCAGTTCGACACGAGTAAATTCCACGTCGTGAGCAAAACGAAAAACTCAAAGATAATTTAAACTGCTAAAACACGTTAAGGCGATTGCGAACTGAGGTTGCAATTGCATTTCTCTCCTGCAGATTATGTGATTCAAATTAGTTTTCAGGTGATGTGCAACCATATCATCAAAATGGCATTAAGAAGAGCTGAACTTCTCTTAAACGGGGCGAGTATGCTGGCACGTGGTACACATTGATTGAAAGATGTGTGTGAATCTATACGTCAGTACAATATCGATTCGAGGCAGTGAGTTCACAATCGGCAGGCAGTTCGGACGGTCACGTGCACGTACATAGACAAAATGAGCTTGACCAAGAAGTGAGTTGAGTGAATTAACGTACAAATCAAGTTGATTTATCTTTCTGTAGAGAAACAAATCTGGAAACACATCCACATAGTATGATGGATCAATGTTCATAGATTCATGTTCTGTTTTGAATACATTTGTTATCGCATTATCAACTAACTGTTGATCATTATGAATAAGTTTTACACAACGTTTGATTTTCCAACGCGCTCTCTCGTCAGATTAAAGCCTAAAAGGAAAAAGCATTCTCACTTTATTTCTTCAAACCCTGAAACAAAACAATGTCGTAGGCCTTAATTGAGAAGGATCCAAGTGCTATTATTTGGCAGCAGAAGACTGAAGCTAGCTGGACTCCTCAAATTTGCTTTGGAATAGTCTAGAGCATTCTTGGTTGCGTGGATACTGAACACATCATCCATGATTGACTTTCACAGTTGAAGAAAGGCTCCGGAACGTTTGCATGCAACAACAACAATCAAGATGACTAAAGGACTATGTTCTTCGGCCAATCCTGAAGTCATGCAAATATACCGAGTTTAGCTTATCTCACTACTGTCGGAACTCGATTTCCATATATTAAACAATACATTGATCAAAATGTTTGCACCAATCTTTCGCAACATTTTATCAGGGTAAAGTCCTGAAAGCTAGTATCCCAATACTTTAGACTGGAATGCCGGGGTGGATAGTATCAAACTGATTTGTACAATCGTCTGAACAAAGCCCGTTTTGCAAATTTATTTAAATTGGTGGAAGAAAACTTAATGGGGGAAAAATGACTATAGGTTACCTCACAGCACGATGGCAGCTCAGAATGAGTTAATCGATCAACTAAGCTAGTCGCCCAATAGAGCACAGTTAAACGGCAAATTAATCGGAATCATCTTTCACTTTAATCGGTTGTGGCGAATTTTAAAAGGGTTTGCTCTATGGTTACAATGGCCCACTACTCGTTTATACAAACCCGCACCTAAGTCTTGAGACTGAGAACGGCGAACTGTATAAATCCTTTATGGGACAGGTGTGTTGTTCAGTTGGACGATATAAAAGTTGCCTACCGTCAAAGTTGATTGGCTGTCTTGGGATTCGAACCTCGCACTTTGGGAACCGAAGCACATTCATGTCAGTGAGAACCGTCACTACCCCTTATTGGCCCTATTTTATTTAAGTAACTATTTTACACGATCAAACAATTGCAGGCACTTTCCACATCATTGACATCGATCATATTAATTCCGACGAAACGTTTGCAATTCGACTGAACACTGATGGATCAGTGGATCCCCCCTACCCCAAAAAAAATAATACACTGCTAACTGCATAAATTAGAAAGCTTGATAATTATACGGATACACAATGATCAATTTTTTTATATTTTTGTCAAGTCACACTACTATGGCTTTCCATTCCCCGGAACAATCCTTCGATGAACCACATTCCTGTCCCTGGGAACCAATTGCTGCGTTATGCACTTATTAAAAGAAATTAAAACATATCTCGAATTAAAATACTGCCTAAAATATCTCCAGCTTTACAAACATCTCCGTATTTGAAACGCACCTGATACTCCTCTATCTGATTCGACAGCAACCCGGTGGCTGTGGTAGTAGCCTTCCCGCTTGGTTTTTTCAACCCGGTGCTGTCTGGTTCCTTCGTTTTGTCTCTTTTCCGCCGACTCTTCTTTGAAGCCTTTAATCGTTTGTGCTCCAAATTGTCCCGATGTTTCTGAGCAGAACTCGTAAGTGTGATGGCTTGTAACCGTTCCCGCAAGCGCCTCTCAGTCTCATCCCGTTCGGAGTTCCCTGATTCTAAAATTTTAAGGGATGGAGTTATAAATGAAAATGGAAGTGTGATCAAAACACAAAACGCTTAACAGAATGCATCAGCTTGTGCTTTCGCTCAGTGTTTATAATTTGCTGATATGTTACGCACGAGCTAAACAGGATGAATAATGTAAGTAGCAGAAATGGGTGTAGATTGAGTTATGGTGAACTTAAGCTTTACCTTGAATGCTTTTATTTTCTAGCAGGTCTTGATTGCGAGGTGCTACTTGTGGCATTTATAATCAACTATTCATTGGAGGCGCACATGTGGAAAGAAGTTTACTATCATACGACAATAGTAACCAGTTTTAGAACCTTGATTTTCCCTCTACCCTTGCATAATCCTGTTTATTGTTGCACAAATTCGTACGACGAACAGTAGAAGTGCTAGCTAGTTACGAGAACTCAACACTGTTCAGTCATGGAAACCGGTAATCTGTATTCTGAGTCTTGGAGTGGCGAACCATATAAGACCCCAGTGAGTTCGGCGGGGTGTGAATCTGGACCAAAGCGAAGCGGCCTACCACCAAGTTGGGCGATAGTGGTGGGGTTCTAACCTTGAACCCTAAGAACCGAAGCAAGCCGGGGGCGGCACTTCAAACCGATTGACCACCATAGACAACAGCTCGGGAACAACAACCCAACTTTCCCACATTGCTTTTCTCGCCCCATCTACGAGTAAAATTGAATATAAGAATTGTCTGCTTACTTGGAAACACCGATAAACATAGAGCAAACACTGTATACTTATTTGATTGTATATCAACTTGAAAACAGCCATGACCGCTCTTATCGATCGTAAATGTGGGATGTAAATTGATAATTCAAAAGGTCTTTTATATAGTGAGTTTCTTCGTGTATATAGCAAATGAAGCGTGAAATAGAAAGCTACGCAGCCGTGGACTGCTGGTTCAACCTGATTTGGTCTCATCCGTGGTGTAAATACATCAATCCAACTTAGGATCGAATCCGAGACATTACAGGTAGAACGCAAACATAGTAGTACTCATTTGACTACCAGGTAACCGATTAGACAGTTTTAATCCCCCTCCCCATACATACGATATATATAGCACAACCCATCTTCGCAAGCTTGTTGAGTGTATCACACGTCGCTCAGTCCAACACTAACCTCCAGAACTATAACTTGGTTGAAACCAAATGGAACCTAATTATGCGCGTATGGAGAAAATAAAAAACACCTTTTGATTAGCTGTTGAGTAACAAAGTGGGTAGCATGTTTGCGTTCTAGCGCTCAAGTCGCGGGTGCGATCCTCATCGAGGAAATTTTCTAAGGTCTTAATGTAAAAGCAATCTTTGACTAAGATTCGGATTGATCTAGTTATTTTCTCGGGCGTGATTTTGCAGTGTGGTAATTTCCGGAGGGCAAATCAGAATTTTCATTAGCATCGTTAATCAGCACGATACAATTCTCCGCAGATATGTATAGAACTTCTGTAAGTGGTTGCAATGTCATCGTGCGGATAATTCGCCTTCTCGTTGCTGAAAAGTGATTATACACGTGTGAATTCCACTGGCGGAAGTGAGGGTAAATTAAAAACAGCTCCGAGATCGGTTGGTGAACTCTAGGAATGAAGTCCCATTGTGAAGAATGACCTACTTAGAATGACTGACCGAAAAGCAATCCGTATAGAAGACTCCTCGCTGACAACAGATTCAGCCTCATGGATTCGTTCAGCTTTGTGAATTGAATGAAAACAACTGCGTTTGTCGATCGTGTAAAATTTGGAAAATATATATATAGATAAATAGACAAGAAGAGTGTGAAACGAAAATTAAAACAACAGCGCTAGAAATGTTTTGATTCATTGATATGGCATTACGTATGTGTGACGATCGTCCAGTAGCTTTTACAGTTTTGAGACCCGGGTGTTAGTAGTATCTTTCTTTACCGAGATACCTTTGCAATATTTGAGGGCAGTTGTGAGAAAGATCATCATCATCATCATTATCATCAGCAGCAGCAGTAGCAGTGAATAAGATACCAAAAGCTTTGCCAGTCGACTGAGATTGGTCTCTGTCGAGTGAGAATGCAGGGATGCGTTTGCCCGATACTTTCTACACCTGAGGTTCAACGAAAACCCAAGGGAATAGTGACAACCTTGAGTTCAGTTGTCGTTTTTGTTTTTCTTGCCCTCTCCCTCTCCCCATTCTTTTTGTACCTGCTCTATAAACCCCTTTACTTCTAGATTAGAACTATTTCGTTCTGAAGGACAGCAACAAGAAGGAATAGATGAATGAAAATTTTCATATTTCACAGCAAACGTTTGAAATTTGAGTCTTCATCTTCTTTTGCACGAATATAACCCGATCACAAATTACTCTCGGAAAAGAAATTTGCACTGTGTATAATGACGAGTCTGGTGTTTAAATGTCTTAAATTGGACTCGAACCAAGAGAGTATGAAAGGAGTGGAAAGACATTGGCACAAATCTTTCCGACGAGCACAAAGTTTCCAGTGAGATTAACAATTGAAGAGGGGAACTGAAACCCGGTGAAAGTTGCCATTCACTTTAGCACACGGTTTGTGAATACTGCTGGCGTTTCCCTTGTTCCAAACAAACAATCCCCCGCAGAGAAATACAGCAGTGTGAAGCACGGGGCTAAATGATCAGCTTGTCCGATTATACCTGGGTTCAAATCTGAGCAGATTTTAGGGATCCGGAAATTATTTTATTCCAAGAAGGACGGGCAAAACAACCTCCAAGGTTTTTTCATAATAGAGAAAAGCTGTCCCTGAGCCTGATCTGACGAAAAACAAGGTGAATGTAACTGGATGTTATTTGAAAGGGGTGCTGTGCACATTTGAACGCTAGCGTGCGTGAAAAAGATCGACATATCATGTATTCTGCCGCATAGAATTAAAACGGTGGCTCGATTCTCACATAATATTAACCCGTTCAACAAAAAAGGAAAACCAGAATCTTCGAGGAACCCCCGAGTGTAAATCGGTTGATGGCAATCATCAAAATGAGCGAGTGTTGTTTTTGTCCGAGTTGTTTGCGCATAAAAAGGGGGGCAGTAACTCGGGATGCTTTTTATGTCCATTATCCGGAAAGAGACAGAGAAAAAAACTGATTCACTTTCTATCAGTCAAGCCGGAGTGATGGATCTCGATTATGGTGTGGTCCGTTAAAAACCAACCCTTCGTTAGTGTGGGCACGCGGGTACATATTTCAATCATTTTCAACTCAGACTTCAAGATAGGTCAAACTACTTGGAGGCCGAATACTAGAATACCGGATACGCATGTCTGAGGACCGAAGACAGCGGAAAAAACGGTTAAACTATCGGTCAAACATTTTAGCCATTAGAATCGATTGGCTGCATAAAGCATATTTTGTGGTAAACCGCGGACGCAGGATGAACGGATAGATAAATGTAAAATCTGGTAAAGAAGTTGGAACGAGATTTTATAAATGTGAGAGTTGGTGTGATCTGTATGCGTGTGTGCCTATGCGTACAACTGAATGAAAGTGAGGGACAACGGGTGAGGATTACGTCACCAGATGCTCATAGCGCTCGTGAACCTATTTGTTGGTGTGCATAGAAGAATCGGGTCTGAAGACTGATAGTAGTCACCATGACCTCAAACAGAATTTATGAATTGGCCTCTTTGGATTGCCTTCATTCGATCGATAAGACAGTGTAATGTGATACTACAACTATTGTAAGTGAGTAGTACTTTGATGCGCACACACTGAAAAAGTTTGCAGTTTTGTACGAACTCTTGAAAGCAGAAGGAGTTTTTGTGTGTAATAGAAAAACCAGTTTACAAACTGATCCAATGTTCGACAACGAATTCAGAGTCTTATGTAATAATTTGACTACGCTATTCCGGATTACATACTTGATGTTGTGTAGCCTGATATTGCCTACCCGCCTTTCATTCCTCTGTCTGGTGCTCGACCTACGGATTTTTACTGAAAGGGTCAGGAAACTTTGCGCACTCAAACACCGAGACCAATGCGCTGAGTTCAACAACATCTGATTGAGCATAATATCCATTGGGAACCATTTAACAGAAATGCTAATATATTATTTTAAATGGAAAGAATGCAATACGCATTTGAGCACAAAAATATGTTGACTAACGCAATTGTCTTAAAACATCAGAAATTTTGCTCTCCGGACAGTAATCATTCGAATGTATCAAACAGTCCCTTTAGTTTTGATTGTTCAAAATGGTTATCGGTATCTTCATCTCCCTTATGGGCTACTGTAATTACTGATTTATTTGGAATGCAATCACCTAGGATAGCAACCCTTAATCAGCTTGGTATCAATCATTTTGCCACTGATTGCGTTGACGGTTTAAAGCTATGTGTAGCGCAATCAACGGAGATATTTACATTCTTTAGTCTCGTCTCCAGACGACTAGATTTGTGCAGTGAGATAGCACCTGTCAATCATTTCTTATCACAAAGTTATATGTATCTCAAAAGGATACCACCATTTCTACTGCAACTTTGATTTGTTCGTTTGTCATGCCAACTAGATTATTATTCGGACTCGTCTGAGACATAAATGGTTCACCCACTCATCGTCCCCGGGACACATCAGTAAGTGGACGAGACATTTTGTAAGTTTTCTTTCATTTAGCTTTCGCCCCAAGCATGCAGAATACCAATTAAAGTGCTCATTTACATCCTAGCTAACATACATACATACATACATACATACATACATACATACATACATACATACATACATACATACATACATACATACATACATACATACAT